ACCCGGCAGCGGGAGGGCAGCTACGCGCGTGCCGGCGGGCTGTGCCGGCGCTCACTGCCCTTTGCCTTGCAGGCCGCGTCCTGCCGAGTGCCGGCGCTTCGCAGCCTCTGCGTGACCCCAGCGCAGGAGCCCTCCGAGCATGGAAGACTCATCTATAAAGGGAACCTCGCCAGGGCCGTGCTAGGTGTGTGCCTCTAAGTGGTTTGCGTTGCCTCTTTTTTAAAAACTATTTAACTGCTGGAAAATGTAATGTTAAGAGCGGATCGGGCTTTTTCCACCTGTGTGAAAACCAAGATTGTCTACACACAAAAACGAATGTTGTGGTCCTTAGTGCTTGTTTCCATAGTTTATGCTGATTAATGTTAACATTATTTTCCTTTTTTTGGGGTCTTCAGTGAACTCTGCAGCTATCTTGCATCTCCAGGTCTCTCAGCTCGCTTCTGGAGTGCATTATCCTGCCCAGGAGCAAAGGGAAATCTCTCTTTCTCTATGAAATATTCTCATATTCTCACCTCTTTTTTTTTTTTTTTCCCCTCTCTCCAGCTGAACCTTAGGTGATGCTTTCCCTTAGACATGTACTGTGTCTATGCAGCAAATAGTTTGTTCATGGTGGCTGATAGTTTAGTAGCTGTATCACTTGTAGAAATAGAGGCAGCTCTACTGGCATTGATGAACCCTGTCACGAACATACAAACAAACCACAAGAGTGGCAGGAGGAAAGGGCTGAACCTTCAGCTTCCTGGCAAGGGCTTCGTATCTTCTTGGGTGTAAAACCCAAGAAAATAATCAACAAATAAACAAACTAAGAAGATTTTTCAGTAATATTAACTGTTCAACTAATGCAATGGTGATATGGAGCAAAACATACATAATTATAGAGATAATTTTACCCACAAATATTAACCTTGGATTTCTACCTTTTTTTTTTTTTGGTACAGGCGTGAAATTTTTCTCTTATTCCACCAGCATCTTCAACCTCTTCATGATGCCCTACATCATGCTGAAAACTGGCCTTGGCTTTGAAAGCGTGTTGGTGCAAGCTGCCTTCTGCGGCCTGATCGGGTTTTTCACGTTCGTGACGCCGGTGACACTGCACGTCCTCACGAAGGGCTACGTGGTTCGGCTCTACTACAGAGATGCCACGGACACGTACACGGCCGTGACGTACAACGCCATCCTGGCAGAGAAAACGACCATCTTCCGGCAGGAGGATGTAAAGCTGCCGGACATCAGCAGGATGTTCACAACGTTTTATGCTAAAACTAAGTCCATGCTTGTTAATCCAGTGCTGTTCCCGAATCCCCAGGATTATGAACATCTCATGGGTTTTGACAAGCCTTTTTATTTTGACTTGGAGGAGGAAAAGGAAGCCACTGAAAGCAAATGATTTGAAGATAATGAATGTCATTATTTGTGGTACACAGTGCTGCCTATGTAGAAGAATGTAAAATTCTGTAGCCTTTTTTTTTAATTATCAGATACTGTTAGACTTCTTCAGATGCATTTTGGAATGTATAAAAACTTGAAGTCTGTGTTTTTTGTTTTTTTTTTTTTAAAAATAACTTGTAAACAACATGCTATCTTTCTTCAGAGTTAATGACACAAACCACAGTAAAACAAATGCCTATGTCTGTCTTGTGCTTGCTTGTTCTTGGCTCGACTTCGATGGTTAAATGTCCAGGAGAGCTGTGAAATGCACAGCCTGAGCAGCCTGCGCTGCGACCTCACCAAGTCTTTCTGTTCCATAGAGCGGGGAGGGAAAAACCCTTCTGGCACAATACCTGCTTGGTCAAAACACTGCCTAAAGTGCGTGCTGCACTTGTACTGACTTAAAGAAAACCCTAGCACATAATGGTTAAACTGGAATCTTTCAAATAGAAAATGGGCAACGTTCAAGTGGAAACCTTGCTGGGAGAGCAAATGGAATCTTCTCTAGAGTACTGGTTAGATTTTCTGTCTTTAAAAATGCTTCTCTATCTATTTATTTCTTAATTTAGCTCTGCCAAGAAAGACACCTGTAGCTCAATTAAAAGGGGGATTAGACCTTTGGATCTTTTTGCCTGACTGGATTTGTTAGAGGGGTTCTACACTCTGAACATGAAATTGGATTTAAATTCTTTTCAACCCAGCTGGAGTTTTGCCATGTAAAATGGTGGATACTTTTTATTTTTAACAATGAAAGACTAAACATTTTGAAGTTTAAAGAAATACCAAATTGAAAAAGAATAGGAACAAAATTCATGTTATTCCTTTAGTGTTGGCAGTGTAATTTGTAGTAAGTACATCTGATGGTTGCTACTAATGAAGTCATCTTGATGTTGCAAATAAGGAAAAACAGTTAGCTATCTTAACAGATGTTTCCTAAATGCAAACTGCATAAAAAGAATTATGTTAAAAATCTAAATGGCTTCTAAGACTATTAATGTTCTATAAGAGGATGATACCATAGAGCATAGTAAAGTACTATTTATTTGAAATACTTTTGTTCTGACTATTGAAACTATTCTCGATGTGTTTGCCGAGTGATTTAAAAACAAATCAGCCCATCTTGATATTTTTGAGATATTGCTTTCATATTGGAACAGCTATAATCTTGGAAGCCCAATTCAGCCTCCCTTAAGTCGGTAACACTGGTTAAGTGACCAGTAATTCACACACACAAAAAAATCCATACATTATACAGAAAACACGAACTGGCAACGTGCAGTTCTGATCACCATTTTTTTAGTACTTGTGCTTATTGAAAATGATCTTTCACCTAATTAAAAATAATATTTTTGTTCTTCCCAGTCCTGCTGCCTTCACACCCTTTGTATTGTGCTTGCAGATGTAGTTAACATCATCATCTTTAAATGCCCAATAAAAGGAGAGCAGGAATCAGAGCTTGCAAGAGAAGGTAAAGAAAAGGGCCCAAAAACTATATATAGAAACCCACATAGAAAACAACAAAATTATCATCCTTTTCTTTCTACTGCAAAAAAAAAAAAAAAAAAGAAAATTTGAGGGCTTTGCTAATTCAGTTTTAACTAATAATGGTAAGAGTTTTCCATTTCAGGGACTAAGTTGATTAAATACATATACTAAATACACATATATACACATTATACATGTAGAACTAAAATTCTCTTTCTTCTGCCTGCAGGTCTTGAAGCAGAGGGACGCAGGTCAAGCCCGCGGACGCCGCAGCCCCTCACTCCTTCCATGAGAGCAGCTCAGCCTCTCCGCGGATCCCAGGGTTCGGGTGCGCGGCTGAGCACGCTCACAGAATCCCAGGATCATCCCAGAATCCCAGGACCATCCCAGAATGCCGCGTTCCTGCGCGCGAGGCCGATGCTTCCTGCCTTGCAGGCAGTCCCTGTGAAACATTGGCAGAGCAAATCCCGCCCCCTTGCTACTAAGGAATCGTGCCGTGAGTGTTTCAGGAAACTGGGATCGCTGTTAAGCGGCTCCCAAAGCCTGATTAAGTGCTGTTTTTTAACATCAGCTCCATATCCTTCACAATTCTGTTAATATTGTAAGCTATTCGTTTCTTCTTATTTATTTTTCTTTAGTTTTGTACATTTGGCGTAAAACAGTTCTTACCACGGAGCTGTTGCAAGTTGCCAGCATTTCCTCCTGCCATTTCTTTTTGGTGTTGTGTGGAAGAAAGAGTAATCTATGAGACCTACACGATGTTCTCATACATTTGGGTGGAGATTCAGAAGGAAATACTGATTCATAGGCCCAGTCTTGTTAAATACGTGACCCACGAGCTGTCTTATTTGCAAGACTGGAGCTGCTGTGAAAACTGCCAGCTCCTGCAGCCTTCCCAGTACCAGCCGGTCGCTTGTCACCAGCAGCTGGGTCTCACGTCTTACTCACGCTGCTGCCTGTTCCCCTCAGTCTGGCATGAAGAGCAGGGACATATGAAATGACTCAAAGCTCCGTCCTGGACTCGTCTCCTGTTCCCTTCCAGCCCTTAGAGGTTCCACAGAAGGTCAGAGATGACTGCTGTTTTTCCTAGGAAGACACACAGGATGTGTTCTTAGAGGGTTTTCTTTTCACTCTCTGATTACATGTTGTTTTCTTGCCAGTGCTCCTTTCCCTTTTCCTCAAGTTTTTGGCTTTGTCCACAGTATTATTCACTCATCCTTACTTAACTTGTAACAAAGCTTCTTATCATTCTTTTATTTTATTCTTTAAATTAAATTATTCGCCACCAAAGAATTTCTGATGAGAAAATTACCCCCTTAAGATACTTTAAAGAGATGTCTTTGAAGCTCTGAGGTACTTCAGGCTCTCAACCAATGTCTCTAGAACTAAAAACATCTTTTTTTTTTTTTCACTTGAGCTTATTTTACTACAAATCAGAATCACTGCACTGGCAGAGATGAAGAAAAGTTATAAAACTCTTTCACACTGCAGAGAGTAGAATTAAGGCCAGGAAACGTCATGAAATTCTGTTGGTGCTATAAAAACTTAGAGCACACGAGTGAAGAGTTATAATTGCTCAGTATATATAACTTAATAGGTGGAAACTTGGTAAGCTGCTGTGCTTTGGTTGCCCTGGTGCTGTGTGCTTGTGCCATGAGGTTCTTCGTGACCCCACGTGCAGCGCAGCATATTCCCTCCTGCCAAGAAGGGGAGCCAGCTTGCTGGCTCAGAGCTGGATCCACTGATAAGGATAAGATTACCTGGCAGCTGTGCACACCTGAACTATAAAGAGACACTATGGTATGCACGGAAAAAGAGAGAACAAGAGCACAAAGTCACAAAATGTGTCCAACCAGCACCATTCCTGGAATACCGATGGCAGACTGTGCTCTTGTAGTGTCTGTTTTGGATATCAGCATCAGATAGGACATAACCCTTGCTTGTCTCTTTACCCTCTGATTTCTCCTCTTCCTGCCAAGCTTAATGGTTTAATGTACTCATTAGAGCATAGCTATAAGCTTTAATCCTAAACTTGGCTTGAAAAGAACAAACTGTGACCCTCCTAGCATCAGGCATAGGGCTATTTCAGCATAGTTGTTTCCATAGGATAGCACCTAGTCTGTGTTTTACTTCATTTTAACAGTGTCCGGCTTAAAACAGAAAGCCAAAATACTTCATCAGCCATATGCAGAGAAGGTGGATCCTCTTTCTTTCTCTAGTCTCCCTTGTCATGACTTTTTGCTTAAACTATGCATAAAATATGCACTAAATAAACACTGTCAAATATGGGATGAGAAGATTGAAAATGGGAAATTTACTTATGGAACTGCTACTATTTTCTCTTCTCCATTTTGACTGTCAGATGTTTTGTCATGTGAACAAATGCCATATATATAGTCCTTTTGTATTGGAGTATCTGCAACAGCAATCCCAAACCCTGGATCGCAAGCAATAATTGTGTCTGCTTTCACTTGTATGAAGATCTGCTTTGAAAACTGTCACAAATAATTCTGCAAAGAAAATTAAACTATCATTTCCTCTTTTTTATTTTTTTTTCTTTTGGATACACAGAAAAACATCTTAAAAGAGTTTTCAGCTAACATGAGATTTTGGCAACTATGCTGTTACATCTTGAGAACATGGATGTATTGGTGTCTCCTGGAAGTGCATCTACATACGTGTCTCAAGACTTATAATTCTGTCTAATTAGCACTTTGAAATGGAGTACTTTGCTGCACTGGAATATTGTTAATATTTATTTCCTGTGATGTGATATTATGATAATGTATATAAATATTTCCTGAGGGAGATTTCAATGACTTATATAACTGAACTACTCTTCGGGTCAAAAGTATTCATCTGCAGCCAACACACTAGATACAAAGCAATAAGTTTGAAAAACAGTCACATATAAACTGAGCATGTTTGGTTTACTGAAAATTTTAAAAAATCATATATGGGGATAAGGTTTTTAAACATAAATCAGCAAGGAAGCTTAGTGTTAAACTTCCCTTAGCATCTCAAATGTAAAGAAAATGAAAAGTCATAGGCATGAAGCTCTGAATTTTCTGGACTTGCATTTATTTTAGATATGGCTAAAACCTGATATGAGAATCAATTCCTATTAAATGCAGTTACAAAGGATTTCAAAACAAGTGAATTAATTTGCATAAAACTCTAGTAGAATAGCACTATTGTGTAGCTTTCCCCAATTCTCCTTCTCTCCTTTTCACTTTTCACTTTTCTTTTCACTTTTCTCTTCTTTTCACTTTTCTCTCCTTTTCACCTTCCTCCTCAGAGTATATAAGAAAAAGATTACTATAAAGAGTATTTAGTGAAAATAAAATGTAGATATTTTTATCCCCTTCCTTTCAGTGCTCTACTATCCCATAGGGGCCAAAGCAGACCCCTACAGGGCAGTACTGTAGGGATTTTGTCGAAAAGCATCACAGGAGTTCAGCTATATGGATGCCATTGATAAGAAGCCACCTGCAACTTAACCTGGATTAGCTGAAAAGATGCACAATTACTGAGGTTATTTTGATTTTAGAACAAATAGTCTTGACTTACGCAGTACAACTCCAGTAAGGAGTAACCGAGATCACAGTCTGTACAAGCCACCAGGGGGGACTCATTCCCCATCTATGCCATTCAGTGAAGCAAGTACCAGAAAAAACACCTCCTCTAGATCCAGCTCTAGCAAGTGACAGGGTTCTGCTGAGAGGTTATGTTCCTGCAACCTAAAAGAGTTTTGATATAAAGTCTCATAAATCTGCAGTGCCTTTTTTTCCAGTCTGCCCCTGAGTTTATGGGACGCTGATGGCAGCAGAGCCAGTCCAAGTCCAGCATCGGAGACACTTCCAGTGAGCTGAGCTGGGCCCTGCACCCCAACAGGCCCTCACACCTTCTCAGAACCAACCTCTCACTTGCCCTAAGTCTATGGGACCGGCAGGCGCCTCAGCGCAGCCCCTGCTCCTGCCTCCTTGCCCGTTAGTCTCACTTCAGCTCAGCAGCTCGCAAATCTGTGGCCACAAAAACAGCCACACGAAGCCTTTCTGGCACGGAGACTGTACCACTTATCGGTGGTGGCCCATGACAGGGCAAGGGGTATACATTAAAACACAGGAAGTGCCACCTCCATATGAGGAAGAACAACTTTACTGTGAGGGTGACAGAGCCCTGGAACAGGCTGCCCAGAGAGGTTCCTTGTGGCGTCTCCTTCTCTGGAGATCTTCAAAGCCTGCCTTGATGCCGCCCTGTGCCACGTGCTCTAGGTGTCCCTGCTGGAGCAGGGGGGTTGGACTAGATGATCTCCAGAGGTCCCTTCCAACCTCACCCTTCTGTGTGATTCAGTGCACAAGGCAGTTACTCTTTAGTGGCTATTGCATTCCTCCCCTTTGTAGCTACTGAAATCTTCCTGCTTTATTTTAGTTTCATTGTATGTTTTTATCATATGTCATTATCACTATATAAAAGCAAATAATAATACTTTAAAATAAGGAATTAAGTAAATAATATTTTAAGCCAAATTTTGCCCTTTTGAAACACAGTTCTGAAACATAACGTGTCCATTTTAAAGAGAGTTTGTGTCCCATTGAACAACAGCTAAATTCTGTGTGTGATGCACGCACCATGGAGATCTGTCAGGAAAACTATGTGATTTTTGAAGTCAGGCTTAAAAGCCAAGTATTAGGCGGTACTTGATTAGATGGTACAATTCTTGTCTGTGGAAACACTTAAAATACCAAAAAGAATTCTTTAATCTTATTGAACTTTGAAGATTTTTCTTTCATTATGAATTATTACATTTATTAGCTCAGCAGTTGGTACTTGCAAGTACTTTTAATCAAATTCTCTTCATCTTTCTTGACTAGTCTGTGTACTCCTTTTTTTTCTGGGTACTAGCAGCTGAGTTTGCTGAGTATTGCTATTCCTTGAGCCATCTTTTGGGTTAAATAAGTTTAGGCTTCTGAAAGCCTTTCCTTTTTTTTTGGCTTCTTTAATATGTGTAAAATATTCCCTTAGCATATGCACACGTTATGTGAATAAACGCTGGAAGTGCTTTAAATACTATGTCTAATTGAAAAATTAGAATGTTATATTTGTAGCATGTACTTTTTATTGGATTTCTGGCATAGCATAAAATTGAATACCTATGTCTTGCATATATTGCTGCTTTTTCACTTTCAACAAATACAATTTTTGATCCATAAAGAGCCTGTGGACATATGTATAAATCAGGAAGGTAAGTCATGAGAAATAATTCAATTAATACAAGTTTCCATATTTTTATTATATTAAAATATATATATAATTTTATTTTCTCTCAGTTAGATGGGGATTGTGCATTCTTAGATGAGGCACTGAACTTTTTTTATCTATTTCCATGGTTGGGACTAGCAATATTGCTGATTTAATGGAGTAGGAGCTGACCCAGTTTAGCCCACAGAGCTGATATAGCAGACAAACGGAAAATAGATTTTTGTGCGTGTGTTTGTGTATTGCATTGACAGTCAAAAACAAAGGAATTTAATTTCAAATGTGCTTGAAATAATTTTTGTTTTGTTGTTTCAGACCTGAGAAGCAGAATCTGCTGTTTTTCAACATAGTCCTACCCTAAGTTAAAAACAGACTCTTAATCTATCTTTAGTTATGACAGGGAGATTATGCTTTCCTACGAAAACCTCTCAGTCACAATTTGACAGCTTTTGTTATTAACTGCATCCTGTTCCTACCCTTCTGGCCACGTGCCTGTGCACTGGGCTGCCAAATTATCCAGTGCTTGGGCTTTCTGCTCTTCTGCTATTGCATAGGGCAAGGTTTTCCTTCAGCCATTCCGGCGCAAAGCACGAGAACAGGCCGGAGAGAAGTGAAGAAGGGGGAGATCAGACTCATCAGCAGTAATTTTCTGTATTTTTAAACTGTTCTTCACAAAGAATATCACTGTGCTAGCTTCGAAGGCCGTACCTGACAGAGTACAGAACATGAGTGGCTTGAGTCAATAACATATCAGATGGCTGCATAAATTCCCATCCGTGCTTACATTTGGAAATATGTCATCTAATTAGACTCCTCCGCAGTACCAGCACATCCTTAAAGTGGGGTGAGCTTGATCTGACATTCATTCTGAGAACTTGTGAAAAGTATTGGCTAACATTCGAATAAGAGATTGCCCTTGTTTTTCGTCATCTGAAAGGAGATTTTCTCCTCTTTATTTAGCATGGGAAACTTTGTGAGCCTTTGAAATTATGCCTTAACAAATGTTATGTCTGATGAGTCAACGAAACTTGCCTTTTACGTGTTTCTGGTAATCTTATTTTTAGTTTCTCCCACTTCCCTTTTTACGCAGTTTTCTCTTTCACTTTTCACCCATGACTTGAGCTACAGTGTCTGGACAAAATGTAACAACAAAGGCAGAAATTCTTTTTCTTCACAAATTAGCAATGATAAAAGTGGTAACGCTACAGTTAGATTAATTAAGATTGCAGAGAATTTGACCGAATAGCTGAATATTCCTTGAAACTATGTGACTGAGGATGAGTCTGCTTATTTTTTTGTTCCTCTTTCGCCGAAACGAAGTATTCCGTCAAACTGTATAAAACCAAGAAAAGTAAATATGTTCCAAGTTTTTCTTTTCTTTTTGTTCACCGCTGGAAACAGTGAATTGCTTTGTAAATCATCAGATCTAGAAATATCGTATACCTTTTGTGGTAAGTAAAAGATGGCTTGTTTTTTTCTTACATGATATTTGCACAATAGCTACTGTAGCCTAAGGAAATGTGATCTTTCTCATTTGTTTCTTTGATGAATACAGAAAAAAGAAAGAAAATTGGTTGGTAATTAGAGTGTATTTCTGTTACTATTACCATGTTATAGGAATTGCACTGCATTGGCATAAGTAGTATACAAGGCTGGTTGCATCAACTATGAAAAAAGAGAGGTTTACTACTAAGTAAAGCAATCATAATTTGGTTTAGGTAAAAATTAAAAGGTAAGAGATTTAAACTTGATCTGTGAGCACCATATTGCCTAAATGATGCGCGTGGATTTACCAATGCATTTGAATCAATAGCTTTAAGTGTATGGGGAAAAGGAAGGCCTAATGTGAGATTCTGTAGGGTTGGGGAACCTGTTGTGCTCTGGGACAACACTATTCACGCCTCTTCCCTTGCCATGTCTGTGTTATAGGTTGTTGGATCTATCTACTTTCCTACTGATTTTTTTTCATGGACTTTGCAATAAGTAAGCCCTGGTATTAGGAGACCTCTCAAGCAGAGGTCCGTTTAAGGGTGCCCACGTGAACTCAGCAGCAAAAAGTGGGCTTTTGAGGAGATATCTCACAAGGAAAAGACCATGTCTTTTAAAAATCTCTGGGCATTACCAGCGCATATCACTTGGAAAATAGCTATATAAATTAAGGCACAAGAAGGAGTGTTCGTTTTATGTACTTTGCCTTGAATTAATGCCCACTCTTTAAATTTAACAAGTGTAAAACGTTGCAAGCCCCTAAGCTTGCAAATTGAGCCTTCGAGACCAGTTATGTTTGCCCTTTCTCTGTCATATTTTCCTGCATTTTTGTTTCTGTCATAAGAAAATGGTTGCTGATTACTGATATTTAATCAATTTCCCTTTGCACATCTGGTTGCTTTAATCCCCAAAATACAGGGCAGCACTTCTCTTTTCAAGTCATCATGACACTGCTTTTGCTCTCTGAGGTGAGCAGCAGCTTAGCATGCAGGTACATCCACCTCCCACCCTATCTGCAAGCCCATGGTGTTTAACAGGAACATGCTTAGAAAAGCAGAAGAAGCAGTTTCTAGAATTAAGATAAAAGTACTGAATGGAATTCCTTCCAAAGGGTGGTAATAAATGATGGTTTTTAAGTAAAATACCAGGTATCAGGCCCTGAATTTGATTAGATATGCGTCATCTAATGCTGAGATTTGCTTTGTGTGTGATATACAGCGTGAAGGGACTCAGTCATAAAGCAAATATAGTCACATTTAGTTTATTCTGGAAAATAAGCTGGTCCATTAAAATCATGTTTACCTGCTGTTAGCAGGTTTCTACAATTTCCGTGATTAGTATAAGAAGGGATATTTTCATCAGAGGACCATGCTTACATAAGGCTAATAAAAAGCGTGTGTCTTCGAATAGAAACAAAAGTACTTTTGCCTCCACTTGTTTGTGTACAAAATATCAACCTAACAATTGACTTTTCTTATAACTTAATCTGAACTTAATATGATTTTAGTTTTGAATTCTAAGCATATGAACAATCAGAAATTAGGAGGAAAGACTAAGTGAGACGGGCCTGTTTGGTCTGGAGAAAAGAAGGCTGAGAGGAGATTTGATTAACATGTTCAATGTTAACCACCTTGAGGGGTGATTGTAGGGAGGATGGGGCCAGGCTCTTCTCTGTGGTGGCCAGTGACACAGTGACAGGGGGTAACGGGTGTAAGTTGAAACACAGGAAGTCCCACCTCCATGTGAGGAAGAACTGCTTTCCTGTGAGGGTGACAGAGCCCTGGAACAGGCTGCCCAGAGAGGTTGTGGAGTCTCCTCCTCTGGAGATCTTCCAAACCCACCTGGATGCCACGTGCTCTGGGTGTCCCTGCTGGAGCAGGAGGGGTCAGGCTAGATGATCTCTAGAGGTCCCTTTGCCAATGTCCAACCTTAACCATTCTGTGATTCTGTGAAATATAACGTGCTGCTTGCTATATATATTTTGTATTATATAATTTTACAGTATGTGCTTTATATTAAATAAGTACTTAAAATATATGTGTTTTTATAAAATAAGCATGTATGCTTTTATTATTTTACTGTAGAAGTCTATTCACACTAAATATATGAAATGCTTTTCTGTCCTGTAGATACTATACTTCAGACCTTCGTGTTTAATATAACACCTTGCACCATGATAAATAAACCAATCTGGAATGTTGTGCTTACCTGGATTCCACGTAAGTCTCTTCTTGCCAGAGAAAATTATATTCTATAAAGGTAAAAACAAAAACATGATACAAGCAAAAACCTATGTTAAACAATTTAGGAGAGCAGTTTCTGTGACTGCATAAGGAATTGGTAATGCGATGGACCCAAAAAAAAGGTGATTTCTAAAGCATTTTCGGAAATCAGTGCACGTGAGTTGGTCTTGAGCAGTTACCAGAGCTCTGCACGCTGACTGCACTGTGCTTTGAAACCGCAGGCAGCTCAGGTACGTATGCGTTTGTCCAGAAGAAGCAGATGAGCTTTTGTGGCAAACAAGCACTTCTTATCTGTTTTTTTTTTGGGGAGAGATAATACCATTTGACTATCCAGGTGTGGCAGGACTTCTGCTAAGGATGTGCATATTCTCTAGACTGGAAGTGTGGTAATGGGTTATGTAGGGAAAAAAAAAAATCCAACTTTAAACTTATCGTTAAATCTGCAGTATCATAATCTTCACCTTCTGAGTGAAAACTTTGGTGCTGAGGTAGGTTTGTTTCGCTACAGAGATGCTGTTGTGGTGGTTATCAAGTGACAAATGTTTTGTAATAAATACATCCTTAAAACTGCAGGAGTGGTATCTCCTGCAGTTCAACTTGGAGCGTTTATTTGGGTTATCTGTGGTGCTGAGTAAAAATTGTTATTTTTATTGAATAAATTAAAATAAATTTGATTTTTTTTCATTCATGTATTTTTGAATGCTTTTTGCTTAAAAACAGGTTTTGTTGTTGTGGAAATAACATAAAGTTACTTCTGTTAGTGTTGCAGGGAGTATTTAAATTTTTAAAAACATATATATTTTTAAGTAGCATGTTTGTGTTTATGTGTATGTTTTTCTTCATTACCTGTTACCTTTTTTTTTTTTTTTTTGCAATGTCTTAACTAGGAAGTGACGTCAACTTTTTGAAGGTTGTCTTTAAAGTCTGGTTTGATGGTGCCAGAGCATTAGACTGGAAAGAAGTTCTTTGTAGAGGAGCTGATGATGAATATGCTGCCTGTGGAGCGTTGAAAGGAGGTCGGTGGAAATAATATGCAGTATTATTATATCTTGCCTTGCACACTGCCTCCATAAGAAAGTTTTTAAATACTTACCACTAGGCAGATTTCTTAAATGACTGTTTCATTAACCCATGGCGATAGATTTTTCCCTGCAATTTCTACAGCAATTCACATATCTTGACAGGAAAACCTAGAAAAGCTCCATCAAAGCTAGAGCCCTTCAGCTGCTACAAATGTCCTTTGCCCCTCTGCAACTGGTCCATGTTAGCTGCAGACCAGGGCAGTTACGTCTGGCTCCCAGAAGCAGCAGCTTAAGCTACAGAGAGACCTCATGGTTCATAAAGCTAAGGGAGGCTTTGAGGACACAGCTGAAACTCAGATTGCCTCCAGGCACATGGACCAGTTTTGTGAACCCTGTGCTCCTGGCTTAGGTAACATAATTCAGAGCAAGCAGTTCTCCAGTGTCAGAACTCTGTTAAAACACAGAATCTCCAAATTCTGTGCTTTTAATGTCTTTGTTGTGTGGTTTCCACCTCTGTACAGCAGGATTAATAATACCGTTTAGCTCATTATCATAGTTTCATTGTTAATATCTCTAAAATTTCATGAGATTTTTTTTTTTTTTTGGTGTGTGTGTATGTTTGAGTGGACTGCACACACAAACCTGAGAGGAGCCAGGGACATTACTAATTTCCAGAACACAGTTCATTTAAGTAGGTGGCTAGATGATGTTTTAAAGATCTTCTCTACACAGATATCTAATGCTGTCTCTTTTTAGAGAAGGCTCAATCCTGCCACGGGGACTAAGTAATATTGATGTGACACAAGTTTAGAAACAGAATTCATGATATCAGACTACAAGCTAAAAAGACCAAATGAGGGGTCACAGTGTGAAGTCCATGTTTTCCCTGGTTTTTTGTATGAGTTGCTTATCTGTGCTTGCCTAACACTTCCTCATGGGACTCTGCCAGCCCAAGCACTAACTTAACCTTTACTGCAAACTGAAAACTCTTGCAAGTTCCCATGACAATCAAGTTATCACTTGCATGGGTCTGCAGGAGATGTTGCAGTAGCATTGTGCTTAATTTTTACTTCCTGACGTGTTTAGACAAATAGATGGAATTCTGGGAGAAGAAATAGCTAAAGGTTTTATAATTTGGAAGAGTACTGGGTTGTTACTGAGAGATATGACACATTGCTTTGAAGTTATTCACGAAGTTTGACTGATGGCTTTGTGATTAAGTAACCATTTCTGTGACGATGATCCCTATTTTACAGAAACATTTGCAACAACATTTGATATTAAAGGTGCAAGAACGATGTTTCCACAGGTACTTTCCAACATTTCATATAAAGAGATAACTATAGTAAAATAATGTACTTATATGTGTATATATTCTGGAAAGAGATTTTCACTCAAGCTGTAGAAAACCGCAAAAGGAAATGTAAAAAAATTTTCTTATACTTGAAGTAATGACTAAAGAGTTGTGATGGTTCTGAAAGAATATATGTGTTCAGGTTATTCCTCTATGCACAACTTTCCATAAACTTTATTCTGCAGTAGAAAATAACATTAGTATTAGTTAATGTCACACTAATTATTATGTTTGTTTGATAAATTACTGTGTTTACTTTAGCCAGAGGGGTGAATCCATCCATACTCTTTCTTCCTATTTGATTCATTCTCTTAAGGTCTCCTCACACTCTCACTGTTCCACCTAGGAATCTTTTGCAGAGATTTGAAGAGGGATAGCAACTATTGAAAGTAAAAGGCCTGTCCCAATGTTGAACCAGGAGCAGCAGCAGTCCTCAAGTTAGCCCAGGCTCATCCAAACTCTGCCTAATCAGCCTGAATCTTCCCAAGACCTGACACTAGCCGCAGCATCGCTAACCAGACATGCCTATTCATTCCCACAAATGTTGCTAAGGAGCTCCTAGTGGCACAAAATGTCCAATGTCCCCTTCCTAGCCCTTAATTTAAAGTTCGTGGGCCTGCAGCGGGATTGAACTCCAGCCCAGCATCCCTTCTAGCCCCAGAGCTGTTGGTAGACAGGAACCTCCCCTGCCAAAGGTCCTCTGATAGATGAGGTGCTTATCTGTGCTTGCCTGACACTTCTTTATGGGTCTCTACCAGCCCAAGCACTAAGCCTAATGAGAGCCTTTACTAGAAACTTTCAAGCTTTCCCCTCTTTCCATTAGTTCTAAGAGCCCTTCTGATCCCCAATGCTCAGCCACAGCTTGTCATATCAGAAGAGGAAATTGTCAAAGCAGTAGGGTGAGATCTGAGTTCAGTATTGGCCACCATCCTAACTTTTGTCCTGATGCTCCCGAGAGTCTCCTGTCTATACGAAGATATGAAGATCAAATAGGTAGACAGAAAAGAGTTATATCTAGGATTATGTTGCTCTATGAATCAGACTGCTGGATGTAGAGGAGCAAAATCCTAAGTTTGGAAGGAAAGCTGAGCTAACATGAGGACTGGTGTTGGCTTCTTTAGTGTCTCCTATGGGAAAGCATGGCTGTGTTAGAGCTGGAGCCCTGGCTAACACTGCAGCAAGCAGGCTTCTACTTGCCAGGGAGCAGCCTGAGCTACTCCACGAAGGAGGGTGACAGCTGGGCTGGCAGGGCCATGCTGGCCCCAACAGGACACCATCCCACCATGCCAGCAGGAAGAGCAAGGCAGGGCTGGTGGCTGTGACCAGGCTCAGCCTCAGCCACAGACAACTCTGCAATCATGAGACAGATCGAAGGGCAAACCAAAAGCCAGACCAGGGCAGGGAAAGGACAAGGCCAGGCACAGGCAAACCTGCAACATATCCGAGTAAGAGCAAGACCAGGGGCAAGGGCTGGAGCTTAAACGCAGCTGCCAAACAATGCAGGGAAGGTCCAGCCAAGGCACCACAGCTGATCCAAGATGACGGGCTGTGCTGCAGCAGAGCTGGTCCTGGGCACAGGCAGCCAAAGCTCTAGGACGGGAGGAAGAAGCTGCAGACTCACTGGGTGCCCTCATGGGCCTAAGAACATGATTTAGGCCTGGGCCAAAAGGGCCTTATGCTTACTCCAGTGGCTGGATCTGGAAGGAAGCGGTGGGCTATCCCAAGGACAGTTGCTGGCAACATCACCTGGTTTCACCAGGTCTGGGACTCACAAGGGCCATGGAGCTAGGGCCAAAGCAACAGCTACCTCTAGAATTAGGCTTAGAATCTGGGCCCTTAGGGCGGCACCCAAACGCCTTCCCTCTGACATTTTTTTCTTTCCTCTCACACTCCTCTCTCTGGTACGCTTCATCCTAATCCTGACACCGTGTCCAAACTCAGCACATATTTTATGCCACCGGTAATACTATGAGGTTGTTTTAGCTTTTATTGAGCAGATATTCGATGAACTCACATCATATAGTCACTAAAGAGAACCTATTTGGCAAATGCCATTGAGGCTGAATGGAAATTACAAGTATCCAGTACCTGATTATGGCTGAAAACAACTGAATAAACTGACTAATACAACAAACACTATTAAAAAGACTGACCTGAGGCTGTGCAGCAGGTAGCCTGGAGGATTCTTCTAGGATTACCATAAAATACAGGGACTATGGTTGCAATTACCTGTGGCATATATCTATGTGTAGGG